GCACGGCTTTCTGGGGAAGGTGGAGAGCGGGCCAGCCCTGGGGGATCCATCAGGATTGCAAAACCCGAGTGCACAGAAAGGGCATTTCTAGTCTCTGTTTCAAAATAGGGCTGGATATCAAAAGGATGGATTCCTTGGGGAGAAGATTGAACAACAACAGAATACAAATACATGCAGGCACTGCACACTGCTCGTGTTTAATATGGAGCTACATAACAAGAAAAATGTTCTCCTTCATTTTTCTGTTAGTAAAGCTGCCAGTTCCTTGACGTTTCAGAAAAATGAAACATCTGCCAATAATTCGCAAGCACAGAGACTCCCCAAGTGAACTCGTAACAACAGTTTGTTTAAGTACCCAGAGAACATCACATGAGGAACAATAATGAGCTCTGCAAAGGAGGTTTTGGGCAATACAGTTCCAGATAAAAATTTAAAATTTTAAAGTCGATAAATGTTGGTTATTGGTTGAGCAAGGCACAGACCAGCACTGTTTAGTAGCATGTCTGTTCTCTGGTCAGTGACCCAAGGGGTCAGAGAAGGGCTGCAACCACTGGTGTAACCTCTGTTCCCAGGATGGGATCAGACTGAGGCATGTGTGTCTACGTGTGGGTACATCCTCATGTGTGCACCAGTGTGTGCTGCTGAGGCTGGAATTGGAGAAGCAAAGGTAAAGCCTAAGGAATAAACACCCCATATCGCTGTCCATGGGAGGAGCATTACAGAAATTACAGAAATTACACATCTGCCCTGGGTGCAGAGGGCTGGGAGTCTCTGTGGCTTCCTTATGCCAAGATTTACTGCCTTGGAATGATATCACTAAAAGGTTTTTGTACTGTAAGTCAAAAATTTTCAATAGTAATTGAAGAGCGGAGGGAGGTAAATCACTGAAAACCTTTTCACCAGCAAGTTACTTTTGTGCTGCAGGAGAACACGTGAGGAACATAAACCCATCCAGCCTCTCCAAGTTCTCTGTAAGTTATTCTCACCTCTGTGTAAGGGTAAGATATTGTGCTGCAGCTGTCCTGGTGACTTCATACTCCTGCACCAAGAGGTTTCTTAACTTTGATTCACTGGAGGCTCTTTGGAGACACTACACTACCCATATTTATGATTTTCTTTTCCAGGTCATCTAAGTGAGGCTTTTCTTGTCCAATACTTTTCATCTCTACTGTGTCTATTGGGGGTGCACTATTCAAGTTTTCCCTTTAATTTATTACCCAAGCATGCTTTCATGCTTTCTCCTTATTCCAGAGGGGCAGGGTAGTGCCTCAGAAAGTGCACAGAAGCAGTGAACACTGGTGTGTAGCACAAGGCAGCCTAAGAATAACAGACTGGGAGGGATAATGATGAAAAGCTGTGGGAGGCAGCAGTAACCAGTGTGGTGTCCTACAGGCTCCTGTCTCGGTACTGCCTGCAGGTGGTGGTCTGAGGGCCAGGCTGGCTGCTCCTCCAGTCCCTGGAGCCTAATGGGCTCACAGCCTGGCCACAGCATCCAGGAGGGTACAAACCAGCCTCTCTCACCTATGTGCATGTTTCTTTCCCCTATATCACCTGGTCTTCCCTGCCGTTGAGTCCTCGCTTCCCTGTCACAACGAGGTGGGAGCAGTGACATGTCCCAACCTGCAAAAGCACCACTGAGGCTCGAAGTGCCTCTGACTCATCCAGCTGCTTCTGCCTCAGCAGAGAGTGGGATACAATGCTTGTGCTTGGGATTCTTTTTGAATCTTTGCCATTATCCTAAATGCCCCACAGGAACGATTCCTCTTTTTTCCATGCAGGCTGTTATGGTTGGAAAGGGCTCCGTTAGTTCAGCATTTAGGGCACATTGACAAGGAAGGCGTATCACAGACACCTCCTCACAGCTGGGATGGCACAAAACCAGGAGTACCACCAGGGTAATTCATTATGTGACTGGCTAAGGGCTTATGCCTGCAACTGGCTTCAAGGAATGGAGGCAAAACTGTTGGACTCATTTTACTAAAGATTAATGGTGAAAAATGATTGATTCTGCTCCTGGCGAGCTCCACAGGACTGCAATAACATTTGAGCTCTCCATGGCTCCTGGAGATCGCCTGGTGCTGATTTTTTTGGGGGGCAATGAAACAAAGGACCAGCTGTTACTTTTGGGTCTGGAGGGAAATTTTTAATGGAATGGCCCCTATCTCTCTGAAAAACGTTGTTTGCTGCAGTTCTGAGCAGTCACATGGGACATTCTGAGCCAAAGGATTTTATCAGGAAAAGTATTTTCTTGGTGCCCAATGTTTTTGACAGCACTTTGTAAAGAATGATTTTGGTACGGATCCAGCAAAGCACTTAAGTGAATCCTTAACCTTAAGCATGGGAGTATTTCCTAGATTTCACTGGTAATATTTATACACTTCAAGATGAAGATGCATTGAAATCTTGTGCTGGATCAGGTCTCCTCAGCATCTCCTCCTGCCTGAATCAGAGCTCACTCTGCTCCTGATGAGGCCAGACAAAGCACCTGGAGCCGTGTTTTTAAATTGACTTTGAACTGTAAGACCAAACTGCCCATGACATCCACAACTCAGACCTCAGCCTACAGGAAAGGATCCTTATAAATACCTGTAAGGGACTTTAAATTCACCCTTTATAAACCATTTACAGAGACAAATTACCTCAATAAGTGTTGTTGGGAGAATGGGAAAATAAAATTGAAACCCATATCAAATTCAAGTTGACAAAAGGGCATCTCTAGAACTCAGTGTAATGACTTGGCAACCAAGTATAAAGTTTAAAATACACAGAGCCTTAAGCACCAGCATGTGCAGTCGTGCACATGCACACCCAGAAATCCATTCACATTCCATCAATTTTAAACAAAACATTTGAGGACCAGGTAAACAAAATTCTTGCAAGATGCCTGTTCAGGAAATTAATTTAAAACATCTTCATTGTGGATCATCAGTCATAACTGAAGTATTGGCTCTGCAGGCTGGGAAGAACACAAACCATTTTTTAGTCTCACTTTCTGCGCCTCTGCTGTGATCAGCATCCCACAAACCCCACAGTAATGTTCAGATTGGGGGAAAATCCAGGGCCCCGTGGTGCTGCAGAGAGAGGAGAGGGCAGGGGAATGTGAGCAGCAGGATCAAAGCCAGAGACAGAGACAGGAGCCAGAAGCTGAGGCTCAAACACATCCCGTCCCAGACAGAAAAGGCTGTTTGAACATCAAAAGTCTTAATTGTGCTGAGGTCTTCACAGCTTGTGGTGTTTCAGGGTGTATGAGCTGAGGATGTTTCCTCCTTGTGGGAAAAGTGGAGTCAAACAAAACTCTGGTCAGACCCCATGTCTTGTTTGAGGCACAGGGGCCCTTGTTCCCACAGCGATACCACGCTGCAGCCCTGGCCCTCAGCCTTTCCCAATACAGTTCTTGAGGCTGATGCTGAGAATCCTCCCCTCAGTATTTTCCAGAGTCCCTATATGTCACTCCAGAGGCTTGGTAGCTCTGGGAGGTTGGAAGAGCAAAGAGCTGGAATCTTCATCCACTAGGCAGCACGTATCTTACAGCATCTTACCTTACCACATATCTTACCTTGATTTTCACCATCTCAGGTGTTAGCTGTGCTGCTTCAGTGTTTTAGGGGCTACAAGACTTGGTATTAGAGCCCAGCTTGGTGTTTCACCCACACGGAGAGCTGACGAGGTTTCTCTGCAAATGCTCTTCCTTGCTGGTGGCCAGGCAGAGCTGGGCAGAGTTTTTGGCCCATCACAGCCCGGGGTGTGGCAGCCCCTGCCCACCGCCGTCCTGCCCCCGGCACGAGCCAGCGGCAATGACCCCGTCCCGACCGCTGCACCGACCCTCCTCCATCCTCCTTCTCCAGCTGCTCCGCTGTCGGGACATGAGGTTCTTTGGTCACGCAAGCAGGATGGAGGACATCGCCAAATTTTGCTTGGCTGGACTTTGATTTTTGTTTTTATCTTCTACAGCTTGTAAAAAGGCTTTTAAAAGACTGGACAAGTCTCTCTGTTTTCCCCACGGGCTCTGCTTCTTTATGACTTTTTCCCCTTTGTCTCCAAAGGGGCTGAAAATAATGGGCTTGCGTTAAGTGCCCTCGAATGAAAATGATTCCATTCCCAAATTGCCTGAGGATGGTGCTCCCAGAAGTTGATTTAGGACTGTTATTGCAGGACCAGCAAGGGGAGCTCAAGCCTTGTTTACGGTAGGTCCTGCACTAATTTTCTCTGGTAGCGAGGGGATTTCCATCCCGGTGCGTGACCCGCATAGGGATACCCAGGGGATGGATCGTGCTGTGGCGAGCGGGGGCTGCGGCACGACGCGGGACAGCGGGGGGTGGGAGAGGGCGGCCGGTCCTTGGGTAGGGAGCGAACAGAGAGATGGTGCAGGGGTCGGCCAGGGCCCAGCCGGGGAGAGATGCCGAGCGCCGACACGTCAGCGCAAAAAAGAGCGTTTTTCTGCCCAAGACCGCCCAGCTGCGCCAGCTGCCAGCCGGGGGGAGAGCGGAGTGGCAGCCGGGCCGGCCCGGGGCGAGGATCTGCACGGCCCCGCGCTCTCGGCAGCCGGGGGGAGGCCGAGGCAGCCGCCGCCGCGCCCCCGGACAGCCCCGCTCCGCCCAG